GAATATGTTTATAAACCAAAGAGATGAAATCTGGCAAGGAGAGGCTGAAGACACAGGAAATAGATCTACTATAGCGTAACAGAGTAGCTGGAGTCTCTGGAGATGCTTTTGGTCATGAAATCATCTAGAATGGAGGAGGGTGAAGAGAAAGTTCTCGAAGAATGAAACTTTCTCAGGAGTGAGAAGGCTAACTTTAGATTTGATAGATTTTTAAGGTGCAGAAAGAGACCAAATATACATCTATCAAGTTAAAGGACATCTGTTTCTGTATCTATTGTGTGCAGAATTTATATGTTCTTCCATTTAATTTTATCAACTGCAGAATTTATAGATGAGAAATTTGAGGCCCAGAGAAAATAGTTTGTCACAGAACTAAAAGATACCAAATTGTGATTTGAATACATTTATGTCTTATTTCAAAAACTGATGTCTTAGGAGAAGTTAAATTTCAAAAAACAAGAGAAGCCTAGTTGTTAAGCTTTGCCTACTAAAATCACTTAAGAGAAAAAGAATTAGCACTTATTGCCATTGTTTTACAAAAGGTTTTATTTTTCACAAAAAAAGAATAGCATAATATCTTAAAGTCACTTTAAACAAAAACATCTTAAATTCATATAGCACATGTAATTTGTTTACAGCTATTTTGATTTTGCCAAATAACAACTTTATAGACTGGCACCTGTGCTCAAACCACCACTGCTCAAAAAATAGTCATAAAAAGGCAATTTCATTCACATAGAAAAATAATGTAGCAAGTTAGTATGGTCTTAAAAAAAAAAACAGTTGGGGCCAGGGAGATGGCACAGTAAAATAAGTGCTTCCCTGGCAAGCAACAACAACAACAAAAACCAGTTAAGGCTGAACATGTTATTGTTTGAAAAATATTTTTCTCATGTTGTAAATTTTTTCATGTTTTACTTCAAATTGATTTTTAAGGACTGCTAAAAAATTAGTAAAGTGGCAAATAACTGAAGCAACTCTATCATTAAATATGAATCTCTGTGTGTAACTTTTTGTCCCCACTGTAGTAAAGGAATGAATCAAGTTGAAGTCTGGGGTTCTGCTTCTAGTGACTGTGCTAGATGATGGCACCCTTGAGTAAGGAAAGCAAGAGAGGAAGGTCAGTGTTCAGGGGCTTGGAGCCAACTCACCTTCTCCGACTCCTGAAAAATGTGGAAAATATTAACATTGCACAGGTGTGTATTCCCTGATGTTGGTGAGGAAGGTAGCAAAGAAAGGAAGACGTGGGTTCTTTAGCAGCTGAATACCCAGCTATTGTTTGAGCCTGGGATAGCCTCCCCTGAGAGATCTTCAGCTGCTATGGTTGACCTCCCTAAGGAGGATACTTAAAAGGCAAAACTGCTACATTTTATGGTGTGTAGGACATTAATTATAAATACTCAGAACTTTAGGAAAATAATGCTGTACCTCAGATTACAGGAACAGATTACTCATTTTTTATGGCCATTTAAAACAAATGCTTCAAGAATATAAATTTTATTAGCATATCCTTTATGAAGCTTATTACATCTAAACAGGAAACTAAATCATACAAGAATGTTTAGTTTTGCCAATGCCATACTTACATTACCTTTTCAAAATAACTCATGAAGAGACTTGTGATGTGGCTGAAGTTAGAGCACTTGCCTGGCATGCACCAGACCCAGTGCCCATCCTCATCACAGCAAACAAATAATCATAATTCATGAAGACCAAGCTCTCTAAATTATCTTTCCAAATTAATTAGGAAGCATATCACTTTTTTTTTCTCCCCACCATCTAAGTGACCCTTACAAAAAAAGGATTTTCCAGCCTTGTGTGCACAATGCTCATATTATAGCATATGTAAAAAATATAGTAGTGTTGCTACTTTAAATAAGGGGTTTGACATATGATGAAGATACTTGGAATTGGTAGGAAGTTATGTGTGTTACTAATTTGGCAATTTGAAAAAATTTTTTTTAAATGAAGTCAAATATTTAACTGAATGGTATAATTTATACGTTTTGCAATATGATATGATATCCATTTGTTAATTTTCTGTTTTCCTTGTAATGTATTTTTGCAATATCTTCATGTACCAGATTGAGATGTATCTGAGCTTTCTTTTTCAAAATTTGAAATCCTGAAGTTTAAATTTATATAATTTAACAGCATTACATGAATGACCAAGTTACTGTGCTCTACGTAAGCCATCACTCAGTACTATCAAATTTTGATGTAAATCAGGCCGATACTGTACCTAGTGGGTTAAATGACTGCTTCGTGCTTAAAGAACAACAGTGGTTTTCTACATTTTTGAGCAGAGATTTGTTTTTAAATTTCATCTCCCTTTTTTTTTTTTTTTCCTTTCAGTGTATGTGCTTTGCTTTAGTTCTTTCTCACTATCATACTTTATATTCCTCTCCCATTAGTAGGGATTTTCCCTGTTTTTGCAAATCATATCTAACCCCAGTTTCTGGTTCTATTACTAAACCTTTGCTAACTCTTGAATTCTATTTTTTGCTGGCTTTTGAAGCTACTGTACATACCACTTAATTTTCTATAGGATGAAAAGATCCCATAGAACCTTAATATATTAATAACGAGTTACTGTTTTAAAATATTGAAAATATTAGCAGTTTACAAAAGACCATGTAAATGTACAATTTTAAAAGGAACTATAATGAACATTAGCCCAGTTTTGTTTTCAATGGTCTTGGAGAAAATACAGTTCACTGGTTCCCAATCTGTTAACTATGTTCACATTTTATTTAATTAGACATTTAGATTTTTCTTTGAAATGGTTATTCTAGTTCTTGTTATGCACTGCTGAAGAAAATGTGTGTGAAGAGCCTTGTTGACTGGTTGAAGTCAGGGAACATATTCCAACACAACTGACAAAATGTTGGTTGCATATCTTCTAAGATTAGGTGTATTTATTGAAACTTTTACTACAGATGAATATGAATAAGGGAAAGCTGGCGGGCATCCAAAGGAAAAGGAAGTGGTGAAGATGGCAGTTTATATAGACAAACGGGATAGAGAAACTAAGGGCCAAGTTAGTAAGGACTGATGAGTCCCACCATCAGTACAAAGAGAATTAAAAATTATGTTGAAAATGACATAGATGTCATTATTTTCCTTTCTCCATATTAAATGGATATGGTATGTATGGAAAAGGATAAGTAAGGAAACTACTATTAGGAAATCATTTTTCCTTTGCAGGATGACTTCATGCAGCATGGCAGAAGGTTGCTTAATAACATGGAAGTAGTTGACTTTCGAGCCAACTGTTACTAATTTTATTCCTTATTAAGGTTTGCTCTTACAAGAAGGGACATCTAGTTTTTTGTGCTTTAGTTAGGTGACAAAGCAATATAAAGATTTTCTGCTTTAATTTTTTTTTTTTGTTTAAAATCTTTTATTTATTTGATATAAGGTCTTGCTACACAGCTTGGACTCAGTGATCCTCCTGTCTCAGCCTCCCCAGCACTAAGATTATAGGCGTGGTGGCCGGCTGGGTGTCCAGGGCCCCGAACTGGCGCAGCATGTGGTACTGGCAATTGAACCTGAGTCCTTGCACTTGCCAGGCAGGTGCTTAGACCACTGAGCTAGCTCTCCAGCCCAAGATTTTCTTAATATTTCTTATCTCCTCCTTAGACCCTACAATTGAACATTTTAAGTGTTGTAAGAAGTGTTCACACACAGCTCTAAGGTTGGTAGAAGAGATAAATAATATTTCTTAACTTAAGTTAGCTTCTTTAGCTCAGAAAGAAGACCCCTTTCAGACAACATAAAATGCATATGTAGACTGATTATTTTTTTCTGTTTATCCTATTTTTTCTTTTGGGTTTTTTTTGCCATAATTTTATTGATTTTTTTTTACCATAATTTTATTGATTTATTTTTTCTTTTGAATCTTGTCATTTGCCCTTAAGAAAAGTTTAAAATGTGTGTGTGTGTGTGTGTGTGTGTGTGTATAGTGTTATGTCTTGAGGATTGTGAGTATATGTATATGTATTTTGAGGAGAAATGTGTATATATATCATTTACTTGGTGTTACAATGATAATCTTACTACCTTTTATATAACTCTACCAGTGATACAGGGTCGTATGTTATGTGAATGCCAAATAATCTAATATCTAAATAATATGAGGGAAACATAACTTCCAACCTGCTAGATGTGTATATCACTGAGTTCCTGTTTTCTAAAATCAAGGATGAATTCTAGAAACAGTGGGGGTTTAAAATGAGGAAGAATTTATTGAAAGAAAGCAAGTTTCTAAGAGGGACAGAAGAGGGCCCAGAAAGTGAATTACCTACAATCCCCACTTCTCAAGGGTGTTTTATTGAGCAAAGCCAGAAGGTGAGGTGGGAGGGACAAAATTAGTTAACTCATAAGATTACAAGTATAATTTAGGTATATTGATCCAATAGGAAATCACAAGGTGGGTGTGAGGTGGTACCACACTTTGCTGAACCAATAAATTTATAAGTATAGTTGTTCAGGTACTAATGTTAAATGGGTATCACTTTGGGAAGCAAGAAAGTAGCAAGAACACTTGGGATGGAAAAGGACTTTCCTAGAAGTGGTGAGTTAAGGAGATTTTGGTCCTCCACCCCAAGGGAATTGATGCCTCTTTAGAATATCAGTCACTGGTGTTCAGCCCTTGGGAAGTATTTGAGTATAGTCATGCCTCCAGCCATGGTTGTTTTCTGCACTGTCCTCTTCAGGGCCCAGCTCTATCTGACTGCCTACAATATTTCTAGATAATTCAGCTGTCTATAATACCAGGAAACCTAGCAGGCTTACTCTAAAATAAATCATCTTGGACTGGCGAGATAGCTCAGTGGAGTAAGCGCTTCCCTGGCAAGCACAAGGGCCTGAATTCAATCCCTGGTTCCGCCAAAAAAATAAAATAAATAATCTTTTTTTTTTATATAGGCTGAAATTCTCTGCCTTTCCCAGTATTTGTAAGTCTTATCTCTGATAAGGATTTAGGTGTTTTTTTAAAGTACGAAATCTTGACCAAGATCTGTTGAGCCTCTACTAGGTAAGTGACAGAAATAAGAATATTCCTTAATGACTATGTGAAGACATAGCTCCAGACCAGGAGTGAAAATTTAGCAACCAATTACTATATGATCTGGGTTGTATGAAATACCAAAAAGATGAAGAAATTGAAGGCAAGAGCACAAAGTAGAAATTCTACTTCTTTAGATGCCAGAATGTTAATCATAGAAATGATGTTTGGGACAGAATTAGTGTTTACTGAATGGAGGTAAAAGTAGATTAAGATCCAGCTTGACTGTGGGGCACCAGAGATATCCATGTTAAACAGAGCAGATAAGTACAAAGGGGGGTTCTTTTAGTTTTCCAAATTAAGATATTGCAGCAGTTACAGATTAGGTAAATGCTGAAGTTTGAGAAGCATAAAGTAATGTAACTTGTCTTCAGGAACTTACAGTTTTAATAGTGCTGCTTGGTAGCTAAGGTAATTTTCATGTTTAACCCAAAGCTATTGTCACGTTAATTGGTTCTGCATAAATTAGCTTGGATCCTCCCAGGTGAGGGCTTGTTCAAAGTCAGATGTAAGAGCATTATACAGTATTATTCGTGGTGTCATTTAGGGTGTTAAGAACAGTTTGTGAAGCATTGAGACATTGGCAGGGTGATTGCAGAAGCTGAGAACTGAAGCTCTATGCATACTTTAGATTGTTCAGACTTTACAGAGAAAGATGATATAACTTTTCTGTAGCCTAGCAGATCTGTGTTGCATTATAACCTCTTTCATCCACCCCCAAATTCAGTTTCACTAATATCAGACTATTTAAAGCTAATATAAGAGGACAAAAAGAGGGAAAGAGAACAGTTCCTAAATTGTCTCTTTGCTAAGACTAGTGGAGCACGGCGCCAGGGTTATGGCTCAGTTGCACAGAGCCTCACCTGAGTTTGAGTCCTGGTAAGAAATACCAGGAATTGCAAGGAAAGTAAGAGATTGATAGAGATAAAATTGTCCACACTGGCATTGCAAAAGGCAGAAGAATCTTGAGAGGAAGATCCAAAGATAACAGCCCTGAGAGACAGTCTGTGCCTTGCCATTTGGCTAGAATATAGGCCTTAGGCATGTGAGTACTGGTCTAGTCAGTCTTTAAGGGATAATGTCTTGACTTCGAGATCTAAGAATACTTCCTTGATGGCAGCCTGTGAAACCCATAAATATACTGTTGACATTGTGGAGAGATAAAGGCTAAAACTTCCAGGCAGTATGTAATCATGGGATTGGTGATGTCTATTCAGACAGCCCCAGCACTCTAAAAGATAGTAAGGGGGACTATAAGTATGTGCTGACTCTCCAGGTCTCTAGCATATTTCCTGTGTAGCATTCATATAGTTCTCCACACCACTGCTACTGCTTAGTGGTAGTTTTTTGGAACAGTGATAAGTTTTTGTTTCACTGTTAGCATGTGCTTTGCTTTAGCATAAATTCTATAAAACTTTCTGGTGCTCCAGAGACTTCCATGTTCATATTTTAAGAGGTGCTGTTATCAAATTGAAAAGTCTAAAAGGCAATAATAAATGGACCCAGAGACCCTGAGTGACCTATTAAGTGTTCTGTCATAAATTGCAAACAGAATTGTGATCTATTTTTCCTTCTTTGCCCTTCAAGTGTTTCCATGCTTTTGGAAGATAACATTTGATAATAAGAATAAACTTCAATAAAAGTTTTTACTTATAATTACTGAATTTTTAGTTTAGAGAATTAGTGCTGTTTGTTTTCATATTGTTTGGGATTTGGGGGGGATGTATGCATGCTTGTCTCTGCACTAAGCTACGTAAATAGCACCAGTTTAAATTTTCTTAAATCTTTATTTATTTGGTACAGCGTCTCATTACAAAGCTCAGACTCATAGTGATCCTCCTGTATCAGCCTCTCCAGTGCTGGGATTATAGGCATGTGCCACCACAGCCAGTTTTGGGACCAGCACAGTACACCCAGAGTTCCGGGGCCGACATGGCATGGCCTGCAGTATCAGGGATCAAACCTGGGTCCTTGTGCTTGGCAGGCAGGTGCTTTGACCACCAAGTTATCTCCCCAGCCCTATAGCGCCAGTTTAAATTGTTTTAGAAGTTTAAATGTTTGACTTCTTTAGAAACTTGAATGTACATTTTGAACATTTTTAATTTTTGAAAAAAAATTAATTTTTTAATATTTAGTACAGGGTCTCACTACATAGATTGGACTTGTAGTGATTTTCCTGTTTTCAACCTCCCAAGTGCTGGGATTACAGGTACGTGCCACCACAACCAGTCTCAGTCACTGTCTCACTGTGCCTAGCGGGCGGAGCAGGCACGGCATTCTGGGGATCACACCCTGGCTGCTGTGCTCTACCTAAGTAGGTGCTTTAGTCCGCTGAGCTATCAGGCAGGCCCTACATTTTGAATATGTAACTCATAATTTTCATATTAGTATATTAAAATTTAAAATACTCAAATTTTTATGCCTTACTTTGAAGTAACTTCAATTCTATTTAATGTGTACTTACAAATTTAATAGTATTTCATCTCTGATTAATGGAAAGGGATAAATAAAATGTTTACATTTGGAATAAAACTACTTTTATATATAAATTAAAAAACAATTTTAGACTAAAACTACTCTTATTATTTTCTCTTTTTTTTTTTTTTTTTTTTTTTTGTGGCCTGCTCAGCCCACCTTGGGGGTAGGGCTGGCACAGCATGTGGTGCGGGGGATTGAACTGTGGTCCCTGCACTTGCCCACGCAGGCACTTTAGTCCACTGAGCTATCCCACTAGCCCCCTAAAACTACTTTTGGATTTTTCAAGATATATTCTCCCTCTTTCCCTAAAAAGAAGTAAAAAAAATACTCATGTTTTTACCCATGTTCATAGCAGCATTATTTACAATAGCCAAAAACACGCTGGTCCATGAATGGATGAACAAAATGCTGTATACATACAATGGACTATTATTCAGACTTTAGAAGGAGATAAGTCTGACACATGTTGCAGGATAGATGGACCTTGAAGACATAGGTGGAAGAAATCAGTAACAAAAAGAATATATTGAATGATTCCATTTATATGAAGTAGTCAAATTCTTTCTTTTCTTTTTCTTTTTTTTTTTTTTTTATATTGGGAATCAAACTCAGAACCCGGTGATTGCTAGGCAGGCGGTAGGCCGCTGAGCTATAGCCCCAGCCTGAAGTAGTCAAATTCTTAAGAATGAGAAGTCAAAATCTTACAAAGGTTGGAATGATAGCACATGCCTGTAAGCCCACCTACTAGGGAGGCTGAGGCAGGATATCCATGCTAGCCTAGGCAATTTAGCAAGATCCTATTCCCAAATTGAAAAAGGGGGGAAAAAAATTGAAAAGGGCTAGAAATGTAGCTCAGCATCACATGCCTAATCCATAGAACAATTCTTTTTTTTTTTAATTTATTTTTATTTTGTAAAGAGAATGCAAAGTAATAACACTAATAAAGAACATTAAAAATGATACAGAATTTCACTCAGTGAAATAATACAAATTTGATAATGGTTGTCCATAGTACAATTCTACAAAAAATAAAATTGCACAGAAACAGTGATTGTAACTTTGGTGCTGGAGAAAAGAGAAAATGGAGTTAGTGATTATTGGGTATAGCATTTCAGTTGAGGAAGATGAAAAAGTTCTGTAGAAGTGTTGGCAGTGATCATGGTACAACAGTGTGCGTGTACATACTGCTCCAGAACTGCACACGTAAAATCATACATGCATTTTTACGTATATTCTACTACACTTTGAAAATCAAAACATTGTTTCCTCCCTCCAAAATTACAATTCATGAACTGTAACTTGTTAAATATAAGTTGATGTGCTTTTTGTGTTGAATTTATTTTGGAAACAAGTTTTGAAAACTTAATTTTATAAATCACAGATTTTTAAATTTTTGTACATGCAATGGAAGATTAAGTGAATCTTTTTTTTTTTTTTTTTTGGCGGAACTGGGGATTGAACTCAGGCCCTTGCGCTTGCCAGGGAAGCACTTATTCCACTGAGCCATCTCTCCACCCCAATTAAGTGACTCTTAAAAAGAAAGAAAAAAATGAGGTATAGATTAGCTTCCCTAAAGTTTCCAGCTGTTCAGAAATAAAACTAGAACTGAAAGCCATAGCTTTTAATTCTTAGCTTTGTGAGTATGGGGCTTCAGTCAGTTATAAATAGCTGTACAAAAGACTAATTTTCTTAATGGACGAATTCACTAATTGCATTACTAGATGAAATAAAGCTGTCAGTGAGAAGACAGTTTAAGCTCAAAGAACATATACCTGAAAAATACAGATAACATTTTTTGAAATTAGTGTTTTAATTGACAAGGTCCTGTGTCCATAAAGCAAGAACAAACTGGGTTATGTTCGATAATCTAAGTTTCCTGAAGTGTATGACTACATTAATTAAATTATATTGTGCCATATGAAGTGTGAAATGTGAAAAGTTCTCAGAAACATCTTTTACTTTTTACACACAAAGAATGATGTATATTTGTGCTCTGTTTCTGGGCTAATAGGACTTTTTTGAATTTTGGGGATTTATGTCATGAAAGCTTTATAGTCAAAAGTACCAAAAGCTTGTGATTTGGGAGAAACACGTTTGTTCATGTTTTAACTTACACTCAGCAGCATGTAAAGGCGTGTCTTTGAAAGCTCTGAGATAATTGTACTTCCCAGTCACCGAAAGTGTTATGAGAATCTGATTTAACATATGCAAAAGTGGGCAACCTGTCTTACTACTTAATGCCTAATAGCCACAAGATGTCATAGCTTTCTGTGTTTTGCTTTAAACTTCAGTGTGCAGGGAACCTGTCAATAATGAGTGTACTTAATATACCAAAACCATGCATTAAAACATTGATAGCCTAATTGATTTTCTTTAGCTAAAAGACCTTTTATGTTAGATTTGCATTAATGCCAAGTATGTTGGATCATCTGTCAAGAAACAGGCTCCTACAATAGTACTGCATAAGTAATCTCACTTGTATATGCTTAATC